GGGCTGCCTGGCGGCTCACGCGGCTGCATGCCACATGGCCCACTGCGGTCGGAGTCCCGCCTGGTGGCTCGGAAAGCGTGCGCGGTGCGTGTGCACAAATGCCCCGTGTCCTGGCAGGAGAGGGGGTGCTGACCACGCCCGCGGGGGCGTTCTCTCCCTCTCCTCTCTGTCTCTCCCTGGGGAGCGCATGCACCCCCTGGCGATTAAAAAAGAAAGGCCTCGCTCGATAGAGACATTCTTTCATACGCTTCCTGAGAGTGGAAGAAGGGAAAAGTACCAGAGGCCCTAAGAGCTGACGCCAACCCCCCTGCCGTGTGTCCGTCAGACGACGATGGCGCATGTGCATCCACGCCGTCACTCCTCAGCACCGCCATGACGTGGGGCCCCGTTCCCGCTTCGAGGATGAAGGACAGGGAGGTGAAGGGATGAGCCCGAGGGCAAACGGCTCGGCTTGTGCCCCAGCTGGGATTTGGACCCAAGAAGCCAGGCCTGGAGCTGGTGTTCCTGACTGCTACACTATACTCTGACCCCTCCCCAGTAAAGCTACCTTTTAAAAATTCAACATGGGGGCCCGCAGGTGGCGTGGTGGTTAAGGGCCCTGGACTCCCCCATGGCCGGCCAGGGTTTGAGTCCCAGACCTGGTAGCTTGCTTTCTCACTTTCTTTCTCTCTCTTTTTCTCTCTTCCTCTCTCACTCCGTCCCTCTCTGGTCAAATTAAAGTGGGCAAACAAATAAATAAAGTTAAATGTTTCTTTTTTAAAAAAATTCAACATGAGGGGCCAGGAGATGGTGTGGCAGTTATGTTGCTGGACTCCCACACGGCCAACTGTGCTTTGAGTCCCGAATCTGGTGGCTTGAAGATCACTGGGCATGTGTGTGTGCATGTCCAAGACCCCGGGAGGAGAATGAGAAAAAGAAGAAGGGATTGCGGAGTGGTCATCCCTCGGGGGGGGGGGTGATTTTTCACTGTCTCTGTCTGTCTTTCCAGTGAGCGCGTGCACCATGAGGCAAAACCTCTTAAGAATAAAAACATCAACACGAGACCTCGAGTGGCTGCAAACCAGTCTGCCCCCAGCTGCGTGCAGGAGGCACAGATAGAACAGAAGGAAAAAAACCCCTGGCATCCGGGCCCAGAGACAGGGAGCTGGGAGCCTGAGGGGGTCGGGACTGGACTCCCAGGGCCGTGAGCCTGTGTGTGCAGGCGGCGTGAGCTGAGATCTCTGCGATCTCCGAGCGCGGTGAGGTGCACCGAGGCTCCGAGGGAGGTGAGATGAGAAGAAGGGAGGATGGCGTTCTGGGAGAGAGACAGGAAAGGCAGGTAGGAGGGTGGATCCTGGCTGGAGGGTGCCTGCCAGCAGCGCTGACAGGGAGGTGTGACCGTCACAGAGCCTTTGGTGGCAGCAGACCAGGGGCGTGGCCATTCTCTGTGTCATGAGGGACTCTTTCCTAACCCGTTCTCCCTTCCAGAGGCCCCTTCCATGCCTCCAGGGAGCAGGAGCCCACCGCCTGGGGTTCCCAGTGGCCATCTTCCTCTGGCACCTGGGACGCTGGTTGCTCACTGGGGACCCAGGTGTCCCGTCTGCTGTCTGCCTGCCATTCCTGTCTGTCCCTGGAAGCCTCCTCCCTCCCTCCTTGTTGTTGGCCTGTGAGGCGGTCGCACCCTGTCAAGGACGCAGCCACCGTCTCTCCCTCCTCTCTCCCGTCTCCTCTCCCATTTTACAAACAAGGACAACAGGCCTGGGAAATAGAAGCCTGTCGTGGAGCTGGAGGCGGGACTAGAGCTCAGACAGACAGGTCACTCTTTGGACACCCCCCCCCCCGTTTAAGGGTGTCTTCTCTCTGACCTTAGCTCTTCAGAGCATGTCCCCAGAAAAGTCAGGGGAGGCAGAGACACGCGAGATAGCACAGCAGGCAGCCGGCAGGTCCACTCGGATTTTATTTGGCACCTATTTTACATGACTATGGCATAAACATTCTTTTACAGTGCTCCTAATTCTGCCCAAGTATTATTTCGGTAACTCCGTGCTATCCTCGTGCCAAGCAGGCCTGCTGTAAGCCACTCCTCGGCACATGCTTAGTGATTTCCTTTCTAGCCTGATTACTGCGTGGCGAATTCTCGCCTTACTCCACTTTTTGGTTTGTTTGTTTTTTGTTTTCGGTCACCTCTTCCTAGAACCTGAATTACTAGGTCGAAGGTGTCAGTAAGGGTCTTGATTCATGTCGTCAAAGTGCCGTCCACGGATCGTGTGAATTTCCACCCGCGCTGTTTGAGAGGACCGGTCTCGCTGCGTCTTCACCGGCACTAAGGTTGTGATGTCTCTTTCCTTGTTTGACTGTTAATTCGGTCGGTTCACAAACATGGCTCGTTGCTGGGGCTTTCATTTGCCTTGGAGGATAGGCGAAGTCACCCAGGGCCGTCTAGGTCATCGGTGTCGGTTCTGCGATTTTTCGGTGTGGACAGCCGCCGCGTAGTCCCCGGCGCGTCATCAGTGCCTTTTCATGGTGTCGTTTATCCACTTGACATACTTGCAGACTTGAGTGTAGACACCAGGGTCATTGGGTTGGCCACAGGGGAAAGTCCCCCAGGACACCAGACCTTGTAAGGTACCTTTGCACACCAGTGGACCCCCGGAGTCGCCCTGAGGAAAACAGAGGAGGAGATTAACTCAGGCTTCAGAGCAAAGCCCCTGCCCCAGTTCAGAGTCAGACGTTCCGGGTTATCAGCCTTTGTCTCGCCAGACCATAGACGTCCACCGGGTAAGAAGAGACGCATTGTCGCTGGGGACCAGTGGGACCGAGGAAGTAGAGCTGTTCCATGGGGTGCAGGGGAGGGGCGGGGCGGGGCTCCATGCTCACACTAAGACAGTGCTCCTTGCACGAGAAGCGGGACACAGCGATCTCCTAAGCGAAGGAAACAACTGACCGCCATTTACAGGGCTCAGGGCGGGGCGCACAGGCAGTCCTGCAGTCCTCCTTGTTTAAAAATCATTAAGGAGGGGCCAGCCGCTGGCGTGGTGGTTAAGGGCACTGGACCCCTGACTGACCGCCGTCCGGTCCTGGACCTGGCAGCTTGCTTTCTCACTTTCCTTTTCTCTCTCTCTCTCACTCTGCCCCTCTCTGGTCAAATTAAAATAAATGAAGTTCAGTAAAATAAGCCTTTAAAAGTTGTTAAGGATTTAGGAGCAAGCAGGTGGCAAAGTGCTTAAGGTGCTGGACGCCCACGTGACAGACTATGGGTCAAGTCCCAGACCCAGTGGCTTGAAAATCACACCAGTGTGAATTTTGTGTCTGCAGGCATGCCCCAAATCCCGAGAGGAGAATGGAGGAGAAGGGTTTTGGTTTGGCCATGCCTCCTGGGGGTGATTTCTCACTTTCCCTCTCTCTGTCTCTGTTTCCGTCTGGTGAGCGCACATACCCTATAGCAAAAACAAAAACAAAAACAAAAATAAAACAAAACAAACAACAACAAAACCAGACATGTTCCGGATTTCAGGACCGCATCAGCTGTGGGCTGCATGTCACAGCAGAGCCCGGGCAGCCCTGACATCGGCCTCACAAACACCTCCTGCTCTCGGGCAGGCACCCTCCCCGTCACCTCCACCGCTAACACTCCGCCCCACCTCCAGTGAGAGGAGAGAGCAAGGGGATGAAATGAAGGTAGCTGGGAGACCGGGAGTGACAGCGGAAGAGGAAGAGAGCCTGAGGAGGGGAACGAGTCTTTTCGCAGGAACACAGCCCAGGTCAGGCAAGTGAGGCACGGAATCTCAGTAATTGCAATAAATAATATTTAAATGCAAAATTTAGGAAATCAAGTGGAGGGACCAGAAGGTGGCGCGGTAGTTAAGGTGCTGAACTCCCACATGATTGACTGTGGTTCGAGTCTTGAACCTGGCAGCTTGCTTTCTTATTTTTGCTTTTGCTCTCTCTGGACAAATTAAAAAATAATAACAGGAGCCAGCAGATGACGTAATGATTTTGTTGCTGGACTCTCCTGTAGTGGACTGCAGTTCATATCCCAGACCCGGTGACTCAGGCTGGATGTCCGTGTGTGCATGCCCAAAATCCCAAGAGAATGGAGGAGAAGGGATTGCAGTGTGGCCGTTCCCCTTGGGGGATGATTTCTCACTTTCGGTCTTTCTGTCTCTCTGGTGAGCACATGCACCCTATAGCAAAAACCTCTGCTAAAAAGCATAAATAATAACAAATAAGGGAACCAGCAGTTAGCGTAATGGCTATGTCGCTGGACTCCCACGTGGTTGACCGCGGTTTGCATCCCGGACCCAGTGACTTAGAACTCACGCTGGGCGCGTGTGCGTGCGTGCCCAAGATCCTGAGAGGAGAATGGAGGAGAAGGGATTGCGGCGTGACCATCCCCCCTCGGGGGTGATTTCTCGCTTTCTGTCTCTATGTCTCTCTCTGTCTGTCTGGCGAGCGCACGCGCCCTACAGTGAAAACCTCTCCAAGAAAATAAAATAAAATAAATAAAATAAATAAATAATTCTTAAAAAAAGGAAAAAGAAATCAAATGGAATACCAGAAAAGTAAAAACAGGACGAATTTGAAATAAACCATGAGTAGTGTGTTGAGCCACAGTGGTGCAGAGGCACACAGAAAATTCAATGGGCCAAACGGCTCATTATTTAAAATTACGGTGTTCGTGCATTGCAAGCTTTCTGCATGGATTTTTTTAAAAATTGTATTCAAATACGATTTATCTTGATCACTGAGTTTTTTGGCATCCTCTTTAAGTGTGGGCCTGAGGCAAGCTCACGTTTTACCTTCCTGAGTCCAACACCCCTCATTTTACTCCCACTGAACTCGGCCCCATTCCCAGCTCCCGTGGGCTCTGGCTGCCAGCCCCAGCGGAGCAAGGACGCTGGGCCTGGGGGCGGGCAGGCTCTGCTGGGGAAGCGGCCTGGCCGGCCCAGGTGGAGCTCACGTTGCAGGTGTTGGTCTTGGAGTCGGGGATGCCGGCGCACAGCATGGAGTCCCCCAGCATGTCCTTGTACACCTTCCTGCAGTCCCCGGGGGAGATGAGCTTGACGTCCGTGCACATGAGCTGCGTGGGGAAGGTCACTGCGGGGAGGGGCAGAGCTGTCGGTCAGAGGCCGGGGCCTGTGCACTCCGGGTGCAGATGGGGAAGGGCAGGGGACAGGAGCCCAGGGTCCCAGATCCTGAGGAGAAGCTGGAGTCATGTGAAAAGGCTTGACTCCTGCACTCCTGAGTCCAGGGGAGGAGGGGAGGGGCTGGACCCCAGGTCTGATGGGGGAGGGACGGGACCTCAGGTCCGAGGGAGGGGGAGGGCCTGGACCCCAGGTCCGAGGGAGGAGGAGGGCCTGGACCCCAGGTCTGAGGGAGGAGGGATGGGCCTGGACCCCAGGTCCGAGGGAGGAGGGACAGGCCTAGACCCCAGGTCCGAGGGAGGAGGGATGAGGCTGGGTCTCCAGGTCACTGAGGCAGACTCACCGTCAGGGCTGGTGGTGGTGCCCCAGCCTGAGACGGTGCAGGTAGTTCCGGGGGGCTCGCAGCGTCTGGGCAGGTTGATCTTCTTCACAGTGGACGACATCCGGACTGTGCGGCTGAGCTTCACAAGCATAATGTCGTTAACGTGGGTCTGCGTGGAGTAGCTAGGGTGGCGGAACGACTTCGAGGCCTTGATCTTCTGCGCTTTCCTGTCACCCAGCGTGTCACTGCCAACTTGCACATTGTACTCACTAAGAAGGGACAATCGAGAGACACTTAATGGAGAAAGTGACAGAGACCCAGAGAGTGGGAGGGGAGAGAGACCTGCGGAGATGGATTTCCAGAGAGTGGGGGACAGAGACCCAGAGAGAAGGGGACAGAGACCCAGAGAGAGGGGGACAGAGACCCAGAGAGAGAGGAGGACAGAGACCCAGAGAGAGAGGAGGACAGAGACCCAGAGAGAGAGGAGGACAGAGACCCAGAGAGAGGGACAGAGACCCAGAGAGGAGGATAGAGACCCAGAGAGGAGGACAGAGACCCAGGGAGAGGGACAGAGACCCAGAGAGGAGGACAGAGACCCAGGGAGAGGGACAGAGACCCAGAGAGGAGGACAGAGACCCAGAGAGGAGGACAGAGACCCAGAGAGAGGGACAGAGACCTAGGGAGAGGGAAACCGAGACGGGGTGCCGAGACCCGGGCAGGCCCACCCCCAGTGCGGTCTTACTCCATCATGCAGTGGGCAGCGGTGGCCACCCAGCGCTCGCTGAGCAGCACGCCCCCGCAGTGCAGTTCGTCACCCCGGAGCAATGCCACCTGCCAGGGGTGAGAGCCTCCCGGACACGGGGCACCATCGATAATCTTCTCCCCACTCTTGTCCCCCTGGGCTAGACAGGGTGGAGAAATGGTGGTGACAGCGTCAGGGAAGGCCGAGGTGGCAGCAAAGGGGCATAGGGCAATGGGTGCAGGGGGCAGTGCAGAGTCAGAGGGGCAGGGAGAGCAGAGGGAGAGCTGGGAGTGGGAGCCCCTCCTCAGGAGGCACCCAGGGGCTGTGGAGAGGGCTGCAGGAGGCAGGGCCTGGGGACAGCCACCCTGGGAGCCAGCGGGCAGGAGGAGCAGCCGGGCTTTCCCGGGAGACTGCGGTGGCGAAGGGAGGGTGCTGACCCAGGGCCCCCTGGAGAGGGGCGGTGGGTCCCTGGGAACCTCCCAGTCGAGCCCTCACCTCCTTGGGCAGCGGTCTCCAAGGCGAAGGCCAGCAGCAGAGCCAGCAGGGATGGGAAGGGCAAGCCCACCATGGTGCCTGTTGGAACATCAGGGCTGTCAGGTGGGACAGGGCGTCTTCTGGGGGAGCTGGGGGCGAGAGCCCAGAATGCAAGAATCCAGGCCCCCAGCCCTCCTCAGACCATTCCATCCAGGCCCCAGATCCCTGGGGACCCGGATATCTAAGCTCCCACTATCTTCTCCCCATGGATCCCCAGTCTGTTTTTCCCTAAAGGACCCCAAATTGCCCGTCTCAGCCCCCATCTCTCGGGGTCAGGAGTCAGGCCCAGCCCCCCACCCCCCTTGATAAGGCTGTTCTCACCTCGGGAGGGCCTGGTCTACCTGGCTGCAGACTGGTGGCCAGTGAAGCGTCTGCGGCCCTCTGCAGGGCGGTCCTCTTATACACCCCGGTCCCCACCCGTCCCTGTGGCCCCGAGTGTGGGCGGGCCCGGCTTGGGACACCCCTTCCTTCTGGGCGGGTGGCGGAGTTATCTGGAACCCCTGAGGCGCCCTAAGGAATTGACTACACTCTATTCTCTCCCTCCACCCTCCTCCCCGAAGCCCGAGGGCGGGCCCAGCGCCTGTGCGTTCGCCGCCCCCGCCCCCGCCCCCGCACATTCTGTCCCCACGGTCCCTGCTGGCAGCTCCCTGAGGGACCAGGTGCGCCAGCTGGGGGTGGAACTCAGGGACTAGGCTTGGGCCTGGGGACAGAGACCCAGAGAGGAGGACAGAGACCCAGGGAGAGGGACAGAGACCCAGAGAGGAGGACAGAGACCCAGAGAGGAGGACAGAGACCCAGGGAGAGGGACAGAGACCCAGAGAGAGGGACAGAGACCCAGAGAGGAGGACAGAGACCCAGAGAGGAGGACAGAGACCCAGGGAGAGGGACAGAGACCCAGAGAGGAGGACAGAGACCCAGAGAGGAGGACAGAGACCCAGGGAGAGGGACAGAGACCCAGAGAGGAGGACAGAGACCCAGAGAGGAGGACAGAGACCCAGAGAGAGGGACAGAGACCTAGGGAGAGGGAAACCGAGACGGGGTGCCGAGACCCGGGCAGGCCCACCCCCAGTGCGGTCTTACTCCATCATGCAGTGGGCAGCGGTGGCCACCCAGCGCTCGCTGAGCAGCACGCCCCCGCAGTGCAGTTCGTCACCCCGGAGCAATGCCACCTGCCAGGGGTGAGAGCCTCCCGGACACGGGGCACCATCGATAATCTTCTCCCCACTCTTGTCCCCCTGGGCTAGACAGGGTGGAGAAATGGTGGTGACAGCGTCAGGGAAGGCCGAGGTGGCAGCAAAGGGGCATAGGGCAATGGGTGCAGGGGGCAGTGCAGAGTCAGAGGGGCAGGGAGAGCAGAGGGAGAGCTGGGAGTGGGAGCCCCTCCTCAGGAGGCACCCAGGGGCTGTGGAGAGGGCTGCAGGAGGCAGGGCCTGGGGACAGCCACCCTGGGAGCCAGCGGGCAGGAGGAGCAGCCGGGCTTTCCCGGGAGACTGCGGTGGCGAAGGGAGGGTGCTGACCCAGGGCCCCCTGGAGAGGGGCGGTGGGTCCCTGGGAACCTCCCAGTCGAGCCCTCACCTCCTTGGGCAGCGGTCTCCAAGGCGAAGGCCAGCAGCAGAGCCAGCAGGGATGGGAAGGGCAAGCCCACCATGGTGCCTGTTGGAACATCAGGGCTGTCAGGTGGGACAGGGCGTCTTCTGGGGGAGCTGGGGGCGAGAGCCCAGAATGCAAGAATCCAGGCCCCCAGCCCTCCTCAGACCATTCCATCCAGGCCCCAGATCCCTGGGGACCCGGATATCTAAGCTCCCACTATCTTCTCCCCATGGATCCCCAGTCTGTTTTTCCCTAAAGGACCCCAAATTGCCCGTCTCAGCCCCCATCTCTCGGGGTCAGGAGTCAGGCCCAGCCCCCCACCCCCCTTGATAAGGCTGTTCTCACCTCGGGAGGGCCTGGTCTACCTGGCTGCAGACTGGTGGCCAGTGAAGCGTCTGCGGCCCTCTGCAGGGCGGTCCTCTTATACACCCCGGTCCCCACCCGTCCCTGTGGCCCCGAGTGTGGGCGGGCCCGGCTTGGGACACCCCTTCCTTCTGGGCGGGTGGCGGAGTTATCTGGAACCCCTGAGGCGCCCTAAGGAATTGACTACACTCTATTCTCTCCCTCCACCCTCCTCCCCGAAGCCCGAGGGCGGGCCCAGCGCCTGTGCGTTCGCCGCCCCCGCCCCCGCCCCCGCACATTCTGTCCCCACGGTCCCTGCTGGCAGCTCCCTGAGGGACCAGGTGCGCCAGCTGGGGGTGGAACTCAGGGACTAGGCTTGGGCCTGGGTCCTCTGTGGGGCCATTTTCTTGCCCTCTCCCCCTCTCAAGGCAGCCTAGACCCTACACCCTAGCTCTGACGGCCAGTGGACGCTCTCTGGGGCTGGATTCAAGTTGCCTGTCTGAGCCTGAGATCGCTCCCAACCCTGATACAAAGGTATACATGGAAAAGAGCACGTTTTTTACATAAAGAATTATTTTAGTGGGACCAGCAGGTAGTGTGGTGGTTAAGGCGCTGGACACCCCCACATGGCTGACTATGGTTCGAGTCCCAGACGTGGTGGCTTCCTTCCTCACTTTCCTTCTTTCTTTCTGCGTCTCTCTCTGGTCAAATGAAAAGAAATGAATGATTTAATAAAATTAAATAAAAATAATTTTAAAAAAGTGTTTAAAAACAAAACAAATAATTATTTTATTTAACTTTATTTATTTATTTATCTTAATTTGACCGGAGAAGGACAGAGAGAGAGAGGGAGGAAGGGAGAGTGAGATAGCAAACCACCAGATCCGGGACTCAAACAGAGGTTGGCCACGTGAGAGTCCAGTGTCCTTAACCACCACACCCTGCTGGCCCTGAGCACACTTCTCTTAATTCCACTCCACTACCTGTTTCCGGTGAGCGAGTTAGCGTTCCTACGTTCATTTCAGTGTGTGTTTGTAACTGAGCATCTGACGCCCTCTCTCACGCGCTCGAGCCGTCTTCAGGTTTTCCCCTCTCGGTACGTGGAGGTGGTTTCTCCTTCCTCCGTGGAGGGTGTGTAAGGTTCCACACCATCTCCGGATCGATGTACGTCAGGCTTCAAACTGAGGTCCCGTGGGTAGTTCTCATCAGGCTGGGAGGAGCGGCTTTGTCCGTGCCCCTAGGTCCGAAGCACCCACGGGGCATCGGGGGCACAGCCCCTGCCTTCACAGGAGCAGCCGTGGAGATTGTGGGTGCCCACGAGAGTGCAGAAAACACGGGTGTGGGCTGGCCAGGTGTGGTAAGTGCCATCCAGGGACGAAAGCAGGAGGGGGGCTGGCTCTCGCCACTCACGGGACCCCTGGGCTCCTAGTAGTAGGAAAGGTGCTTGGGACGATTCCAGGCAAGGATGGCATTGTGCACGCTTTTTAAATATATTGAAGGGTTTCTGTTTATTCCTTCTGTGAGAGAGAAAGAGAGGGCCAGGCACCCCCAAAAAGGTCTTCACACGTGAACCACTCCCAATCTCAGCCCACCTGGGTCACAGGTATTTTCCTATTTTCAAAAAGAGACTGGGGACCAGCAGTTGGTGTAATGGCTGTGTTGCTGGACTCCCATGTAGTTGACCACAGTTCGAGTCCCAGACCCGGTGGCTTAAACTCACGCCAGGTGCGTGTGCGTGCGTGTCCAAGATCCTGAGAGGAAAATGGAGAAGGGATTGTGGCATGGCCATCCCTCCTGGGGGGGATTTTTTTGCCTTCTTTCTCTCTGTCTCTGTCTTTCTGGCAAGCACACATGCCCTATGACAAAAAAAAAAAAACTCTCCAAAAAGAGAAAAAAAAGAAAGACACTGTGGGGTCAGCAGGTGGCATGGTGGTTAAGGCGCTGGACTCCGACTTGATGGACCATGGTTCAAGTCCTGGACCCGGTGGCTTGCTACTGGAAAATAATAATAATAAATAAAGTTAAATAAAATAATTATAAAAAGAGAGCGAGAAAGACACTGAGGGGCCGGCTGGCACAAGGTAACCCAGCGCTGAGATGCTGGGTCCACACAGGGAGGTTCCGGGTGTGCCTCCTGGGCCTCCCTCTCCGTGTCAGAGATGTGCTTGTGGCCCTGATCTGCGCTGGCTCGGACTGGGTGGGAGGACGGCGGGAGGACACTGGTGGGTGTGGCCAGTCAGTGGTGGTGAAGTGGCGGGTCCCACGTAGCTCTCTGCGTGAGCCTCCTTCAGAGCCCTTCCGCCTGTGCCGTTCTCAGGCTCCTTCCTGGTTAGAATTCAGTCCTTATAGCCAAAACCTTCGCTAGACCTCACGCTGAATCCACATCTCAACTCATATGTCGAATCTGGTGTGTGCATGTGTCCCATAGCAAAAATCTGTTACATTTTTTTTCTTTTTTTAAAAAAATTATTTATTTATTTATTTGGAGAGGTTTTCGCTATAGGGCGCGTGCGCTCGCCAGACAGACAGAGAGAGACAGAAAGCGAGAAATCACCCCCAAGAGGGGATGGTCACGCCGCAATCCCTTCTTCTCCATTCTCCTCTCGGGATCTTGGGCACGCATGCACACACGCCCGGCGTGAGTTTAAGCCACCGGGTCCAGGACGCGAACCGCGGTCAACTACGTGGGAGTCCAGCGACATAGCCATTACGCTAACTGCTGGTTCCCATTACTTTTTTTTTTGATCCCAAACCGTGAATCCAATTCCGACTTGAATTGGAGCCACGTGAACCAAACCCAGTCCTGCCTCTAGTCCCAGCTCTCCCCAGCACTCATCCCGTGACCTGTCTCAGACCCAGTTCTTCAGACACAGAACAAACACGGTTGGACAATGCCTGGCCACCAGGCAGGGCCAGGGACTGAGGGTACTGTGGTGCAGACCTGGAGAGGGCCACTTCCCTAGGGGAGATCACAGCTCGGCGTAACAGGAAAATAAAGGAATTCATAAACAATTGCAAAATTACAACGATTGTGTGTGCTCCGAAAGAAAAGTGCGGGTGTCGTGAAGCATTTTCTAGAGAGTTCTGACTCACAGTGACGAGGAGCTGGACGGAAGAAGCGGGGAGACCACAGAGGAAATAAAACCTGCAGAGGCCCCACGACGGGGGCGGCCCCACGACGACGTGCAGAGCCCAGAGCACCCCAGGAGGTGGTGTGGACGGAGCTCATCCAGGGAACACACAACAAGATTTAAATTCTCACAGTATTGGGTCTGGCAGGGGGCGTGGTGGTTAAGGGTGCTGGACTCCCACGTGGCCGACTGAGGTTTGAGTCCCAGACCTGGCAGGCCTGCTTCTCACTTTCGCTCTCTCTGTCTCTCACTCTGTCCCTCTCTAGTCAAATTAAAATAAATAAATAAAGTTAAATAAAATACATTTTTAAGAATATACACTACATTATCAGCAGGTAGTATGGTGGCTAGGGCACTGGACTCCTACATGGTCGATCGTGGTTTGAATCCCAGACCTGGTAACTTGCTTTCTCACTTTCCCTCTGTTTCTTTCTGATCAAATTTAAAAATAATAATAATAAATAAGATGAAATGAGTAATTCTTTTAAAAAATGTTTCCCCTGGGGTCAGCAGTTAGCATAATGGTATGTTGCTGGACTCCCATGTCGTCGACTGCAGTTCAAGTCCGAGAAGAAAATGGAAGAGGAAGGATTGTGGCGTGGCCATCCCCCCTGGGGGGTAATGTCTTGCCTTCTGTCTCTCTGTCTCTCTGTCTCTGTCTTTCTGGTGAGCACACACGCCCTATAGCAAAAACCTCTCCAAAAAAAAAATAAAAACGTTTCTCCATCCTCTAGCAGTTAGTTAGATCAAGAGTGAGGTCCCAGCTCAGGTTTCAGTTGGAGGCAGGAATATCTCAAAGCTGGAGCGTGTCTTTGCCGTCGCATTCGAGGGGCGGGGGAGTTGCATCCTTTCACACGGAGCTCTGCGGTGTTGAGGTTCGGGTGTTGTCAGACCACTCGCAAGCTCCCGCCTGCTTCCCACTGCCGGCGTCAGCAGCCAATGATGATCATGGTCCAGATCCATTGTTTTATTAGGGGCTACGCAATGGTGACTTTATAGCTCTGTCACTTTGCTGCATTTATAATATGGAACACTTTCATAAAGCGCATCCCCTTCGGGGCCAGCAGATGGTGTTGTGTTTGAGGCACTGGATTCCCATATGGCTGACTGTGGTTCAAGTCCTGGACCTGGCAGCTGGCTTTCTCACTCCCTCCACCCCTGCCTTCTCTCTCTGATGAGTGTGCATTCCTTACAGCAATCTAAAATAATAATGAGCCAGCAGGTGGCATGGTGGTTAAAGCACTGAACTCCCATATGGCTGACTGTGGTTCGCGTCCTGGACCTGGAAGCTTGCTTTCTTACTTTCTCTCTCTCTTGTTCTCTCTCTCTAGTGAGTGTGTATGCCCTGCAGCAAATTAATAAATAATAATAATGGGGCCGGCAGGTGACTCTAAATATCAGCTCAGGCCAGGACCAGATCTCAACCAAACGTGACTGTGACTCTTCACCTGAACCCTGAGCCCTAACCGCAAGCCAGCTAAACCTTGACCCAGACACTGATGTCGCCATAGCCTCACTCTCAAACGGGCCCCATGCACAGCTCGGACTTCAGTCCCCATCCCCGTCACATTCCAGGAAGTGCATG